ACTTGACTAGTCAAAACGTCCAATGTGGTTTTTTTTCTATATTGTAGCATGAAATTCAAAGTAAAATTGTGATTTTATCGTTTCTAATGAATTTTCAACGTTATTATTCACTGACTACATTAAAAATGGTATTGCAAAATGTATTGTTTCTAAACAGTTTAAATAATAATCTGTCGAACTTCAACTTCGATTTTCTCAAAATGGTGGATATGTTACATTGGTCTATTTGAAAAGTGACGCGAGAATTGAGAGCAAACAAATCTTCCTGTGACATCACATTGAAAACTATTTCTGCTATCAGTGAGAGCAAACGAAAAACTTAATTTGATTTCCATTTTTCCTGTTGATAGCAAAACAAGTATTCAATTTGATGTTATGCTAAGGCAATGAAAACAAACCCGCAACAACATATTTCTGAAGACCAAATGTACAGCAAAATGAAATCAAAATTAGGTTTACAATTTGTCAATTGCGTAAACTGAAATCAAACTATGATTTCCGTTTGATGTTGATATCAAAACTTGTTTTCAATTTGTTGTCATTTTGAAGCTGTACTTTGCTAGGGCTCTTACCCCACCCGACCCTATTAGAAATATCACGGAAATGATAATGTCACATGCTTAGGTTAACAGCAAATGATCAATCGTGGATAGTATCCCAATGCCTAAAGAGGGTTATAGATGAAAAGGTGACGTGTTAGACCTCTTTGCATAGCCCAAGTCCTGAACAAATATGAATTAAAAATTATGCCATCTAAAAAACGGGTAACTTCGGCTAACGATGTTCGAATTTAAAAGGCTAAATAATCAGAGATCTAGAGTAACATTTGAAATGGGCCTATGTCCAAAACGTAAACAAACCAGAAAATGAATTTTAATTTTTTCCGCTACTATTCAATTCATATTTAAAAAAAATGAAGTATTTTAGGCATTTACATTGTTCACCTCATAGCCTAGTCAGTAAAGGCACGGTATTACCAAGCCGGAGGCGACGGGTTCGATTCCCAGTCCGGTCGAGGGAATCTTTCGGGTTGGAAATTTTCTCGACTTCCCTGGGCATAGAGTATCATTGTGCTTGCCACACAATATACAACTTCATGCATTGGTATTGGCATCGAAAGCTCTCAATTAATAACTGTGGAAGTGCATTTAAAACACTAAGTTGAGAGCACGCAATAAGCTAATATGCGCTAAGCAATAAGCTTGAAATGCGAACAAGAAGAAGAAGAAGATTGTTCACAATAACAATAGTAACTGGATCTCAGTATACAACATCCAAAATATGCGAAAAACTTTCAAAAATATATGAAAATCGATAACAATTTAATTTCATAAATTAATAAGCCTTTTTGTGAATCTTTCAATGGATTGGCCCTTTTTGTTAAGCCGTTGCGCTCGTCATCACAAATGGTACGCCCTTTCCTAAGCCTTTTCGCAACCAGTGTTGGCAACATCATCACTCAAATTATATTTTCCCGCTCTCATACGTTCTCAATATCACGCGTGATATTGGAACAAAATATCATGCTTGATATTGATTTTACAAGCTCCTTTGATATTGCGAGACTATTCACAACGTGCAAAAATCAAGCGGAGAGTTGACTCGACACAAAAATGATTCCGTTGCACATCGTTTTCTTAGAAAGAGAAAGTATAGTTTGCTATCCCTTTTTACTGTTCACCGATGGCAGACACGAAGTGACTGCTGCCAGCCGTTATGGAAGTTTCGGTTGCGTTCGGGTGAAATGCAAAAATAATTAAACTCAATCTCACCATAGTTTGTTGAGATTTGCAGCTGGTGAGTTTGGTTAGCTTGATATTCCGAGCTGCAGTATCACAGCTTGCAAAATCAACCGCGGCTGTATGCGGTATTTTTGTCTACGAAAATCAAGCGTGATCTAGGGAATTTGTGAGATTTGATTTTTTGATATTTTCCCAACACTGTTCGTCAAATAAATTCAAAACAAATCATCGGCCCTGCCTCAACCAGTAGGGCCTAGCTTTGGTTTGAAAACTTTCAATCATCGGCCCTTCTACGTCACTAGGCTTATCAATGAAATGAAACAAATTAATGGTTGGCCGTTTTAGCGTGCGGGCCTTTTTAATGAATCGAACAATTTCGTTGATCGGCCGTTTCGATAATCGAGTAATTTTTAACGATTTTTCTCAATTATGCGGAACTTTCCTACACGATTAGTAGCTATCATGTGGTGCTAAAGAATGGTATCAAAACCCGATTTGTTTACGTTTTGGACATAGGCCCATTTAAAATGTTACTCGAGAGTGAACATTTTTTCTATACAACAAAAAAAGGTCTATTCCGGGAAATGTTTCGTTCCTGGATATGATTTTCCGGAAAATATCATACAATTATTTTCATTTGCAACATAGCAGAAAATTCAGATCCGCACATAAAACTGGATGCGAATAGCAACAGCACTCGCAAGGCTCTACAATATTCACCCCTATTCTGTATTTCGTTTCGAACGAAATTCTCATACAAAAAAATATTTTTTTGTATGAGAATTTCGTTCGAAACGAAATACAGAATAGGGGTGATTATCAAGGACTAACTCCAAGGAAGACTACTCCAGCTAAGTTCCAGGGCAGATTTGGTTTGCTATCGTGATAAGCGCGCAGAGGAATAAAAAAGATTGATGAAGATTTCGTCCAACAGGATAATAGTAGATGGGTTTATAAGCAAGCAACACAAGGCAAAAGACATTTAGTACATTGATTCGCTAACGTGAGATTTTTAGATTGCCATTGAAGCAACATAATATGTTCGCAGAAAGGAATACTTTTGGGCTGAATCCAGTTTACCGTTAACTATTTGATCAACATATCCTACTAAAATCTTAAAGTAACTTTCCCGCGGTTGAAAACAACTTCAAGTTAGCGTGTGCATCTAGCAAATCAATTTAGTTAAAACACTTCGTTAATTATTATTAATTTGAAAATCTAGCAATACATTAAAACTTATTCTAGATCAATTTGAATTATCCACCATCATTCTAAATGCAGATAAATTTTGCACGACATTTCTAAGAACATATCAAGCTGAACAATGCATTAGGCCCTAAGTAACATTGACCGATTCTCTTTGTTGACTTTCTCTTTGCATCCTCACGGTCATGTTAATGCATTTTCTGCTATTTTCAGCGCACAAATCGATGAAAGAAGCTTTTATCTAGCTTCTAATACGACAAACACAACAAGAAACAGTTATGTGCTCAAGTTGATAACGAAAGAGGAAGTCGACGAAGAGAATCGATCAATGTTACTTAGGACCTAATGCATAGTTGAGGTTGATATGACCATATGATATGTTGTCTGAATTTCTGCATCTCACTTGAGGGCAGCCCGCGGTACGTCACAACCCATAGATTGAGAAACGCTGAACTAGTGTATTTGAGGGCCCACGGGGTATCGCTGAAACATCCATCAAACGAAATTTTAGGTGCTCAGCTTTCATCTGAGAGTAGTTTTAAAATGTTCTATTGGTGTGATTTTACAATTTTTTTTCTTCCGAAATTAGCTTAAACATCGATTTTTGTCTCTACTCCGTAACGGCCATTTGGCATAATCGTGGGAAAATCAATTTTAAAACAGTATTAGATTTGAGATACGACGGTACAGCCGTTCTATTTGTGTTAGGTGCAAACGTTTCCAACAACAATATTGTTTGTGTAATATAGGACACTAACCTCACAATTATGGATCATAAGGTACTTTCCCTTCTTATTTCATGAGCAGTAATTCTTCAACGGTATTCCGTTGTATTGTCGTGTTGGCTCATGAAACAAGAAGGCATGTTTCTCGATTGTTCATCATATACGGGAAATGGATGTAATCGACCTAAAAGGCCCCTAATTTGGGCCCATACTTGAATTCAGCAATCGACTAAATTTTCAATAGCGATTAAAAATATCCATTAGTACCGTCCCAATGACGCGTTCATCTAGATAAAATTGATAAATAGCTGATTTTTAGCGATGGGCCCAATCTTAGATCCATAGGCCAATATTGCTCAAAATGTTTTTGGTTGTATACAAATGCAAAAATGTGTTTTTTGAAAACTGCAAGAACAAAAGATGATCCATGTCGCCCAAATTTATCGAATTCATCAAAAAAGTTGTTGTCTTGATATGTTGACTTCGTTTTCAAGTACCGTGTGGTGGCCGTTCACAAACCAAATCAAAGTAAAATTAGTAATTTTTGTTTACGTCTGTTTGTATATGTGTCACATTCTATAATTTGACTTTTTAAAGCTTAAACATTAATTTTCCCACGATTATGACAAATAAGCGTTTTTCCAAACGACCTGTGATACCACGAACCATGGGCTTATAATTGGATTGATTAAGGCTGGCATATAATTGAGACATTGGCATTGCTATGCAGCAGATTCACAACCATCAGCCAATGTATTCTATCAAGAAAATAAAGCAAACAGCACAATTTGAAGTTCATTAGACATGGCGGCGACAAGGCATGTAACTGTAGCTTCTAATGAAACTTAAAAAAACATTTTAAACAACAAAGTATTTACCTAGCAACGTTTCCAACAGACTCGTTTGTTCGAGATTTGCTACAACGGCTATCATCGCATCGGAGGGGAAGCAATAAAAGTAAAGGGTAAATTTTCCTCTTAATTTTTATTCCAGTATTCCACGACGCTACAGATTTGTAACACTAAACTAAAGGCCTAACTCGCTATTAATATTCTATTGAATCTAGCTGAACGCACTTCCAACGATAGGGTAATTCCAAATTTTCTTTTTTCTTCGTAAGTCCCATTCACACGAAAAAGACGAACGGAACGGGACTTATCGAAAGCAATTCGCAATAAAAGCCAAACCAATTACGGCATCACTTGGTGGTGAATTCAACAGCTCAAACTGATTGATTTTCCCTTCTGAATCAATCAAAGAAATGCATAGAACGGCGTGTCTTTGGCCTTATACTGCCCTAAAAATGTGATTTAGCATTATTTCTTACTTGAAACTCTCTTGGACATGTCATCGAACTCGGCATCCGAGATGTTCAACATCAAACTGTTAGCGGAGAGGTAGACACGGTTCTGCGAGCTTGCGATCTGTGAAAGAGCAATGTGGTTATAAATTGAAACCGGTTAAACATTACACTGCCAAGACATACCGTTCGAGCGATGCTCTGTGCGGCACGAATCTTTCTGAGCTTCAGGTAGCCAGGATTTTGACTAACGGCCAGACCCAACATTTTTGCTGCCTCGGCTTCACCCTCAGCCTGGACGATTTTCTGCTGCCGTTCTTGCTTGGCACGTTCCACGAGGAAAGCCGCACGTTGGGCCTCCTGCTGGGCAACTTGTTTGCTTTCGACGGCAGCCGTATATTCCTTGCCGAAGCTGAGTTCCGTCAGCGAAACATCATCCAGGATGATGTTGAAGTCTTTTGCGCGTTCCACCAGTTCACGGCGGATCAGCAGCGAAACCTGCTGGCGCTGGGTGATGAGCTGCGAGGCATTGAACTTGGCCACCACACTCTTCAACACTTCGTTACAAATTGATGGCAGCACTTTTTCGTCGTAGTCCAGTCCCAGCTGGCGGTACATGATCGGAAGTCGCAGGGCATCTGGTCGAGACAGTACTCGAAGGGAGATGTTCACCATCTGCAAATCCTTCGATCCGGTTGGGGACGAGATCTTCCTGGGGCGCGAGCGGATGTCATATACGATCGGATATTGGAACCATGGAATCCGGAAATGCAAACCTTCAGTGAAGGTATCATCACCGATGCCACCGATTCGGTTGAACATGATTGCACGGTGACCACCATCGACTGCAAATCAGATGCATATTAGTAAGATATATCTAATCAAGATCATCGATCTTCAATGTGTACATGATGTTGCATACCGCTTCATAGGCGGCATGTTATGTAACAACAAATACACTGAATCTGTTTTTGATAGATATTGCAATTAAATGGAATAAATATGTGTCACGTCCGTATGGTGATTAAGACCCTACATAAATCGAGATTTAACCAATATTCACGATATTATGTCAATTTTCTCTCTATTGTGTAATCTCCATGTGAAATTCTTCCGACTCAGTTCCAGGTATTTGAAGGTTATGTTCCTTACATCAAAACCACAAAAAAGAAGTTTCATCCTTGTCCCATGACAGAAAACCTCACCTGTGAACATGGAATTGCTGATGCCATAAGCAGTGGCTCCAACTGCGGCCAACAGCTTCAAACCGGTAGTCAATCCGGGTGGTCCACCCTTGCCGAATTTTCCGGCCAAATCATTCAGTTTACTCTGAGCCATTTTCGGATTGCGACAAACTGCGCAACACGTACGCCACTTGCACAAAAAGTATTTAAGCTACCAAAAAAGAAACGAAAGGGAGTTTACAAGATGCCTCAGGAAGATTTATGATGAAATATTGAGAATAATAGCACTTTTTTTCACTTACAGCAGAGCGAATTACAAAACACGGGCGACTGTAAGGAAAATCACACACTTTCTGCAGTTTTTCTTCAGCAGAGATTGACAACTTTCAGCAGCTTTGGACAGTTGTGCTGAATCGAAGAAAATGTCAACAGCATTATAACAGTTTTAGACATGCAGGGCTGACACGAAAACTTGCAGGCGTCTTCCATCAGAGTCGATGGCAGACGCAGAAATATAAAACAAGCTGAACATTGCATAAGGTCGATTCTCTTCGTCAACTTTCTTTTTCGCTAATAACTTGAGCACATAACCGTTTCTTGTTGTGTTTATAGCATTAGATGCTAGATAAAAGCTTCTTTTATCGATCTGTGTGCTGAAAATACCTGAGAATGTCTTTACATGGCCGTGGGAATACAAAGCTAAAGTCGACGAAGAGAATCTGTCAATGTTACTTAGGACCTTATGCAATGTTCAACTTGAAAACTTTCCGAAATTTTAAATATTTTTTCCAGCCCAGTGGCAGGCGCGTAGGCAACATGTTATACAGTGACAGCGGGCCCAGCACAGCAAAATAAATTATTTGAGCCCGGGACATGCTGCCTACTGTCAAACGCTGCTGTTGGTATAGGCCTTGTCACTGGCCTGATTTTTTCATTCAATCAAGCTGAATAATGCATTAGGTCCTAAGTAACAATGACAGATTCTGTTCGTCGACTATCAGATAGTCAAAGTAATTCTCTTTGCATCCTCACGGCCATGTTAAGATATTCCCAGCTATTTGCCGCACAGATCGATGAAACAAGCTATTATCTAGCTTCTAATACGACAAACACGACAAGAAGCGGATCTGTACCTAAGTTATTGCGAAAGAGAAAGTTGATGAAGAGAATCGATCAATGTTACTTCAAGCTGAATTTTGCATTAAGTCTTAAGTAACATTGACAGATCCACTTTGTCGACTTTCTATTTGTATTCCCACTGCCATGTAAGGCTGTGAACCATTTGCCGAGTTAAATTTAACTCGTAGTTAAAAGTGACATTTCGAAAGTTATTTCTTATGTTCGAAAATCCCCGTGCTGTCGATCGACCGGTTTTCGAGCCACGGTCGTCAAAATTTAACTTCTTGTCTGTCAGAAATAACCACGCTCGGATAGCAGGGTTAATCGATAACTTTCCATCTGTCAAATTTTAACCAAAAGTTAAAATAATCCACCAAATGGTTCAGAGCCTAAATACATTCAGGGGCTACAAAATGGTGAGTTGTCAACCTGGAAGGAGTGGAATACCTAGCCCTGGTCCTCACAAGTTCCTACTTCACGCTTCCTCGAGTCAAACGATAACAAAAGACTACCAGCTGAAACATGGATACAGCTGGGTGGCGTAGCCTGGGCAATGTTGCCAGTCCGGCAATAGCAAAGTGAAGACGTGCGACGCGAACACTGGCGCGGTTACCATAGTACGGTGATAGAGGAAATGCTTCACCAAACCTGAGCGTCTGTTCACCATGGAGGTGCGGCTCAAAACGGCGTCTGTTCTCCATGTTAGGAGCGGCTGATCATCGTCCTAGTGCCAGCGTGGGACTCTAAACAGAGCTGTGCACGATGGTCCCCCGGCGAGACAGGGGGTTGGGGCAGGCCCAACAACACAGCAAAAAAAAAAGTAATATCAATCAACGTAATTCAAGCTGATGTATGAAATAATGATGTAATAGCAAAAAGCAGATACAATATTACATCAATGGATGTAATTTTGTTCGCAAAATCGATGTACATCGTACAATGTGATATTACACAACCGATGGATTGACCTGGTTGCAGCAGTTTCGATGTAATATTCAACAACTTTTTTTGCTGTGAAGCCGCCCTGGAAAAAAAAAACAAAGTTGCAAATACCGAAGAAAGAAATACGGATCGGAACAATCGGCACAGACCTACGCGACGAAATAAGGACTACGGTTGAAAACTCGGAACATGGAACTGCAAATCGCTCGGCTTCCCGGGTTGCGATAGGTTAATCTATGACGAACTTCAACCACGCAACTTCGAAGTCGTAGCACTGCAGGAACTTTGCTGGACGGGACAAAAGGTATGGAAAAGCGGGCATAGAGCGGCTACTTTCTACCAGAGCTGTGGCACCACCAACGAGCTGGGAACCGGCTTAGTAGTGCTGGGTAAGATGCGCCAACGCGTGATTGGTTGGCAGCCGATCAACGCGAGGATGTGCAAGTTGAGGATTAAGGGCCGTTTCTTCAACTACAGCATCATCAACGTGTACTGCCCACACGAAGGGAGACCCGACGACGAGAAAGAAGTGTTCTATGCGCAGCTGGAGCAGGTGTACGACGGCTGTTCGCAACGGGACGTCAAAATCGTCATCGGCGACATGAACGCTCAGGTAGGACGGGAGGCAATGTATAGACCGGCAATCGGGCCTGCATGCCGTATCGAACGACAACGGCCAACGATGCGTGAACTTTGCAGCCTCCCGGGGTATGGTAGTTCGAAGTACTTTTTTCCCCCGCAAGGATATCCACAAAGCCACCTGGAGATCACCTGACCAACACACAGAAAACCAAATCGATCACGTTCTAATCGACGGGAAATTCTTCTCCGACATTATCAACGTCCGCACGTACCGCAGTGCGAACATAGATTCGGGCCACTACCTAGTTGCAGTATGCATGCGCTCAAAACTCTCGACGGTGCATAACACACGTCGAAGTCGAACGCCGCGACCCAACATTGAGCAACTACGGGACGCCGGAATTGCCCAGGACTACGCGCAGCAGCTGGAAGTTGCACTACCCACGGAAGAGCAGCTTCTCTTGAAGATGGCTGGAGGGACATCCGTTCAGCCATAGGTAGTACTGCTGCAGCGGCACTAGGTACTGCAATCCCGGACCGAAGAAATGACTGGTTTGACGGCGAATGCAAACTGTTAGTAGAGGAGAAGAATGCAGCACGGGCGAGAATGCTGCAACACCGCACGAGATTGAATGTGGAGCGATACAGACAAGCGCGGAACAGACAAAACTCGGTTTTCCGAAGGAAGAAGCGTCAGCAGGAAGACCGAGATCGCCAGGCGATGGAAAATCTGTACCGCGTAAACGACACACGGAAATTCTACGAGAAGCTAAATAGTTCGCGCAAAGGCTACGTGCCGCAAGACGATATGTGCAAGGACTTGGACGGTAACCTTCTCACGAACGAGTGTGAGGTGATTGAGAGGTGGAAGCAGTACTATGACGAGCACCTCAACGGTGAAGCAGCAGAAAACGAAGGTGGCACGGCAACAGACCTTGGAGCACGCGCAGAAGACGACAGGCTACCGGCCCCTGATCTTCAAGAAGTTGAGGAGGAGATCGGTCGGCTGAAGAACAACAAAGCAACTGGTGTAGATCAACTACCAAGTGAGCTATTGAAATACGGTGGTGAAGCACTGGCTAGAGCGCTGCACTGGGTAATTACCAAGATTTGGGAGGAGGAGATATTACCGGAGGAGTGGATGGAAGGTGTCGTATGCCCAATCTACAAAAAGGGCGACAAGTTGGATTGCTGCAACGACCGCGCGATCACACTGCTGAGCGCCGCCTACAAGGTACTCTCCCAAATTCTATGCCACCGTCTGTCACCATATGCAAGAGAGTTCGTGGGGCAATACCAGGCAGGATTCATGGGTGCCCGTGCTACCACGGGCCAAATTTTCGCGATTCGGCAGGTTCTGCAGAAATGCCGCGAATACAACGTGCCCACACATCATTTGTTCATCGATTTCAAATCCGCATACGACACAATCGATCGAGATCAGCTATGGCAGATTATGCACGAGTACGGATTTCCGGATAAACTGACGCGATTGGTCAAGGCGACGATGGATCGAGTGATGTGCGTTGTTCGAGTATCGGGGACACTCTCGAGTCCCTTTGAATCTCGAAGGGGGTTACGGCAGGATGATGGACTTTCGTGTCTGCTGTTCAACATCGCGTTAGAAGGTGTGATCAGAAGAGCTGGGATGCATACCTAGATATTTTCACATTCAGTGGTATTGGTGGGACACGTGAGAGCATGGTAGTTAAGATCCGAAGAAAATTTCATATTTTTTTAGGTTAGTTAGAGAAAAATAATATGATGATCCCACTAGTGTGCGTGCGTTAAGTGTAACTAATTTCGTAATTGGTTTGTTGCGTTCGAGGTTCACCCAGAAAAATATCATCATAATAGATCGAATTAAAAATATTTGAGGAAAATGTAAACGTAAATTCATTTTGTTTTCATCACACACATGAACTAGACTGATTTCAAACGTATTTTATGTTAAAATTCTTGTGATATCAATGATTTTCGAGTTTATTTTAAACGTTTTGGAAGAATATATTTATTTATAATTATATAAAGTTTTCGAATGCCCGCTAAAACAAACAAAAGTGTACAATTATTTTACATCTCCTTTGTGTTTTCGATGCCTTTAAATCCAGATTCAAATACGTTGAATACACTAACTAACACAAACTAATCGTATGCTTTTATTTGCATTATAACGGTCACTTTATCCGCATGCAATCACTTCCGTATTAAGAAGTGAGAAAAAATCCCCTGAATGATGAAGTAATGAAATTGGGTTGTTAGCGGAATACTTTAAATAAAACAGCAAAAAAGGATATCCTCCATTTAATTAAACTTAATCAATTTTGGTATTCATGACAGAAGTATTTCGGCTACAATGTGCAGTCTTCATCAGTGTCATTCCTACTAAAGGACTTATCAAAACCTAACCCCCTAAGTGTAGTCGAAATACGTATCTATCATGGATACCAAAATTAATTAAGTGGAATTAAATGGAAGATAACCTTTTTTGATATAGTTGAAGATGCTAATTTCAAATAACAGACTGTAGCGGTAATTTTTATACGATAGATGGAGTAGATGAAAGCATAGAGTTGATAGTTCCGTTAGAGTACGGCAGTTTGAAGAATTGCATATAGATATTAGAATAGCGAGCTAGGACAACTTTTAAGGAAGGTACAAATCGGTTTTTTCATCTCTCTTTACCAAACTCCCCCTTTGGAGAGGGATGCTGAGGGGTGTCCCCCCTGAAAAAAACGATTTGTACCTTCCTTAAAAGTTGTCCTAGCTCTTCGGTCCCAAGCTAATCGATTCACCCCTCGAAACATAGGAAAAACCAATAACCCCTCATTTTATCTGTCAAACTTTCATAGCGAATCAAAACAAACATTGCGTAGTTCTAGAATTTCAACTAGAATGGGATACGTTAATCGTTTGCTTGGGACCAATAGGCTAGTCAAGTAGTGAGCCAATTTAAAATCATTAGTTTCGTATTGATTGTTGGTAATATTCAACAACTATTTTTTCTGTATTCGTCAGATGTGGTGTGTGTCTTCAGTGGGATGCCTTGACCACTTATCATTTTCAACAGCTGACATTTACTACCTAGACGTGAAAAAGAACTGGCATCACTGATAAGTTCGAAATTTGGTGGCTTGTTCAATGCTTCAGTGGCGCCACCATGACAAATACAAGCACATTCCCAACTAAAACATTATTTGCGATGAATGTGATTGTGAGTGTTATATCTGTTTGTCTGTGCTTTAACTTTGAAAGTATCCAAAATGAAGTGATGCGATTGTACCATATTGTACTTCGTTTTGGATGAAAAATTGCAACGCGCGCCATTTATATTTCGACTATGTCTCCTGCCGAAAGCAAAATTTTGCCCGTTCGTAATCTCATCATCGGAGTCGTATTCCATATGTATTGTAGTGAAATTAGTGTTTACTGCTCTGGAGAGGAAAAAGGTAAGTTCTACATGTACAATATAGTATTCTTCTTTGGTTCTGTTAAACAGTACTTGATTGATTTATCGGAAAGTAACAGTAATTAAACTTAATTACATCTTAGGTATCCACGCGGACCAAAACGTATCTTGCAAAACTGCCTCCACGAGCCACCGATGACTCCACAGTTAGTGGGATAATCATTACCCAGCCTTGGGATGAGTGAAGGTAATGACATTTTAGTTTTCCGAGCGAGCTTTCAAGTTGATTAATGTTTGCTTCTTGTTTAATTTTTCGCCATTACAGAGTAATTAGGCTGAGTTTCATTGGTCTGCTTCTTATTCCTTCCGTGCACCAGCCGGAATCCGAGCCGAGGAATCGGGAGCCGAGAGTGAATTTGATGAAAAAGACGAGGAAAATGGAGGAGCTTGGAATTTTACCCGGTCAACCGGAAGATGGTTAACACAACATGATGGATCTAACAATTTGTGATTTATTGCTTCTTCAAGGACAACGTATACGTAGATTTTATTGTAAAAAGGTTCAATAAAGCCGAATATAAATTTGATTTGAAGTACTCATCACAATTATAGCAAAAAACTGAAAAATCCCCTATTCAACTAAATTTTCTATATTGAAAACCCAATTTTGCTTAGTTTTTATCCAACATTCATTATTTCTGAAACAGTTAATTCCCACCCAAAACGAAGTCTTTGCTGAATACTCGAATTTTGATCCTTCGCAACCGTAATAAAATTGTTGCGGTTACTTTGCTTAACGACATGTTCGGGGTATAATCCAAAACATTTGTGGAATAGTTCTATTATTTGGGTTATCGTTCGCTTATGGAAATTTATTATTAGGGAAAGAACACAATTTTGACTGGCTGCACTTAGGTGTCAAGATGAGTACAAAAGATTTAATTTTGAGTTGTTTCGTTTCTCCGTGAATGCATGTATGGAGTTTTTTTTTGTTGCTAACTGTTCGAAAGTCCAGGTGACGTTTCGACGTGCCCCACCCCTACCGTTGACGTAATCACCCGCAGAGAGGAATGTTTTTCAAACGGCGATCCGCGAACGATGGAACGCGTAGCTCGCTCGCGCATCAGTCATCCAGCAACAGAAGAGAGAGTGTTTTTAAACCTGTTTTCCAGCCAGAATGTCAAAAGTGACGAAGTCTAGATAGTGAAATGATGTCAATCGTATTACGGAAAATTTATTTGCATTTTATCGAATCGTGATCGTGAAAATCCACTAGCGGGTGTACGCGTTAGGTGCTGGGTGAGGCGCTTTTCCGCGCGGTGTTATTTTATGCACTCAGTTTGCATTGCAAAATGTCGAAACATGATCGTGCGAAATCGGGTGGCTTGCTGGATACGCTGTTCTTTGGCCGACCGCACAAGAAGGGCGGCCGCGGTGGTTCTAGCGGCTACGGGAGTGGTGGGTTGGGAGGTGGCAGTGGCCACGGAGGCAGCTTGAACGGGGGAAGACCCCTGTCTGGGGTCGAATCGGAACTGGTCAATATGGAAGAGATAAGCAACGAAGTGAAACGGATGACCGAAGCGGAAGTTAATCAGAAATTCCTCGAGATTCTCGAGGACATGAATATTCCGAAGGATAAGCGGGATCCGCTGCTGCTGAAGCCGCTGGACGAGAAGAGGAAAATGATACTGATGCATTTGAAAGGTGAGTGGAAAAGTGCGGGGGTGGATTATTTGTTTTTGTTTTGGTACGGTTACAGTGCAGGAGGAGAGGGTTTTTTTTTTGTTCTTCAACAAGTGGGTTAAGCGCGGAGTGTGTGTCTGTGTGTTCGACAGGGTCACGAGAGGGGTGCATAATAGGAAGAATACGCGGAAGCAAACAAAAAAGAATAAACGTTGGTTGGTCGTTACTCCTGTCCGTGAGGGACCTTGATCGGCTGTGTCATACGGTATCGCATCGTTAATGGATAGGTCCTTGAAGGTGATGTACCGCGCATCTGCGAGAATGTGCCTTTAGAAGAAGAGGTGATGATAAATCAAAACTTAATGTTTGGCCAGTCGGGTCATGTAATGCACTGAATTTATTTATAAATTTAATTTCATAGGCGTTAATTTTAGAAATTATCTCACGGAGAGAGAGCAACGATGTACTCGTTTATTATTTTACCTTTAGTTTGGTGGACGCAAACAGATGCCTTGAAGATCTTTTTTTGGAACGTTCAATTTTCAAGGACCGTAGTTTTATTTGGGCGGCTTTTGCTTTAGTTGACAGATATGGGTAATTTGTTTATTTACGGATAGTTAAACTAGCGCAAAAGTAGTGGGATAAAAGACTTTCTAGATTCTATTTCGGATTATTGAAGCTTTGAATACCCAATCGGTATAAAGTTCAGTAGATCTATTATAGTCAACAGCTTAATATGCTAAGAAACTTGAAGAAACATCAAGAAGATCCCAGTTATTTTCGTCGTAGAGTTCTGATTTTAAGGATTACTATCATCCTATTGCACCAACACATTTTTTACATAATTTCGAACACGGAACTGTTAAGCATTGAACAATTTCAAGATGTTCGAACTTGGAGAAAATGTCGCTTGTCGCTCTTCAGGGATCCATGCTACATTTCCAGTTCACCGATTATGATGTTTTTAGCTCAGCTTCAGCTTAGATATGGTATTGCAGAGCCGGAGCAGGGGAGTTCGATTCTCTGTCCGATCCAGATAGTCTTTCGGGTTGGACATTCTCTCGACTTCCTTGGCTTGACCCTAGGATTGACCAAAGCTCTTGTGCGAGCCACACAGTATACAAAGTCATGCACTATTGAATAACGCAGTAGTCTGTGATAACCCGTGTCACTGTTGTAAAGAGAAAATATAAAATAAAATTCATTCCACTGCATAACGTTAACCAATAAAGACGTGTTTCGATCGTACTCTACAATTCGTTATGGGCCCAGAATCCCTAACCGGAAGATTCAGAAGATTTTTTCACTGAAGCAGCAGTATGTCCACAAGCGGAAGTTCGGGATCGGGACAGCAAGGTCAAGGGAATGGAGAGGGCAACGGAAAAGGCACGACTGAAGCAGGAAGCGTTCGAGTCAGAAGTTCCGTTGCACTGCCAGCCATTTGCGATGCGGATGATTCTGATCCGTGATGGAAGCTGGTGTGCCATTGACGGAGACGGTGAAAATGTTCCTGAAGACGTGAAGTTGCAGGCTCTCGCAACGATCTGCCAAGTCTGGAGAGCTACAACTACAGCCTGGTTCAGGATGCAGAAACTGCGAAGGAAGCTTGGACGAAGCAGCAATCTGCATTCCAGGACAGCGGATTAACCAGGAAAATTGGGCTGCTCAGAAAATTCACGTCAGTACGGCTAATCAATTGTGCTAGCGTTGAGGTGTACGTGGACGAATTGATGAGCCCAAGTCACAAGCTCGCATCCGTGGGATTCAAGGTGGACGATTCTTGGCTCATGGCGATTCTGTTGATAGGACTTCCTGAGCAGTACGAGGCCATGATCATGGGACTCGAAGCGTCCGGTACGGCCTTGACAGCGGATGCAGTGAAGGCTAAAATTTTACAGGACGTAAAATTAGATCGCCAGTCAGCAGCAACAAAGAAGGTGCCATGTACAGCAAAACGAGCCGAAAGAAGTCCGGCGAGCTAAAGGACGGTAACAAAGGTGAGAAGCTGTGCTACAACTGTGAGAAACCGGGACACTTTACAGCCAAATGTCCCAATGCCAAAAAGTCGTCTTTGTAGCCAAGCAAGTCAAAAGGAATGTGCTTTATTTTCACTATTGGAGATGTAAGGACCGATGAGTGGTATCTAGATTCCGGTGCCACCAGCCACATGGCACGTTCGAATCAATCTTTCGTCAACGCGGTTGCCATGGACCATGACGTTGGAACAGCAAACAACAGCAACATTGCAAAGGGAACGGTTTCCGTGGAAACTGCAGAAGGAAGCGTGAAAGTTGCTAATAGAGATTTTCAGGACTGGTTCAACTGTATTGGTGCGCTGTGTGAAACTGTTTTAAGTCGTTTTCGTTTTTGCGGTGTAGCTCTGGTGTAGTGTAAAGGCCTGTATAGAGATCGAAGCGAAGCGAAAATCTCATACAAAATACTACATTTTTCACCTGCGCGAAAAACGCAATTGGCAAATAGGGGAATTTACGTATTCTCGGCAACCTAAGCAGCGATCTTCTTTCTATAGCCTTTTTCTCTATGGAACGCACACATATGCAGTATTGGTTTGTTTACAATCTTTTGCTGCCAGCTGCTCTAACAATTTCAGTCGAAAGAATTGTCAAAAACTGTTTTGAAACGCTTTTACAAAGCTCCAATCTTCTCTAGTGAGAGCGAGTATTGTCGGCAACCAGTTTTTCTTCGGCAACCGTTCCATTTGAACTGCATGTAAATCTGCTGTTCTATTATCGGCAACTCGAAATCAGCTACAATTTGTAGAGCGTGTGTTTCATTTCAAGAAAACCTGCTAGATTGCTTTTTCACTGTGGTAAAAATATAGTCAAATTGAAGCTGAAAGCATAAAGAATCGTTTGCATGCATTCAGCGAAGTGTTTTCGTAAGAAAATCCAGTGAAAATAGTGTTTCAATTTGGGTTGCCGAAAATAGTCTGTCATGCCGAAGCCGTCATTTCCCCTATTTCGCTTCGCTTTGAACTGTAAACAGATACGATCCAGCGAAATCTAATTTTGTAGATCGCATCTTTTTCGCTTACGTTTATTTTTTTTTCGCGCATTCAGCGCTCGCGAAAAGAGCAGGAGCTAAGCAAAAAGTTGACGTTTCGGGAGAGCGTATCTGTCAGATTTTCACTTCACCGGAGGTGTAAACTGGTCGATTTCGTTTCACATGAACTGTAAACTGCGAAAAAAGGAAACTGGAAAATGTTCCACAAACATTTTTTCACAACCTTTTTCGCTAGCGAAATTTCATGATTTTTCGCGTACTTCAAATTTTGTTTCGCTTCGATCTGTATACTAGGCTTAAGCAGGAATAAGCGCGAGTCTTTGACAATTCAACATCATTTGTTTGTGAACAAAGGTGCATTCTATATCTACACCCTAAAATATTTCGGTGTACGGCAGTGTAGCACCGGTGTAGCTACACCGCAAAAACGAAAACGACATTAGTGAATATCCGAGGAAAATACATAACAAACCGCTGTCAAACTCATTTTGACAGATCGAATTACATACATTTTGAGGTTACCCCGGGGAAAATAATAAACAACTTTACACGGCGATAGACCCCCATTAGTGTACGTGCGTTAAACGTCACTAATATCTATGTGTTGAAAATTCCGGACCTATCAACCAACCTGTTATCGGTCAGCCCAATCTGTAAGCGAGGAAACAAGGTAGTATTCACGGCGAACAAGTGCAAAGTCTGGGATGGAAGTGGCGAGCTTGCCATTACCGGAGTTCAAGAAGGCGGTCTCTATCGTGTCAGTCGGCCGATGGTTAACAGCATCGAATTGTGACATAGACTTCTTGGTCATTTGAATTAAGAAAGCTTGAATAAACTGAAGGAAGTGGCTAGCGGAATCGACTTCAAGAATGAAGAACTTACCAATTGTGTGTCGTGTCTCAATGGGAAAAAAGGCACGATTTTCGTTTCCCACCAGTGGTTCAAGAGCGAAGGAATTGCTAGAACTGGTGCACTCCGACCTGTGCGGCCTTGTGGAGGTGCCATCGTTTGGAAGAGGTAACTACTAAAATTACCTTCGTGGACGATACCAGTAAGAAGGTAGTAGTGTTCTTTCTTGAAAGGAAGAATCAGGCGCTTGAAGCATTAAAGAAATTCAAAGCTAGAGCCGAGAGACAAAGCGGGAAGAAGCTGAAGATTTTGCGTACAGACAATGGGACGGAGTACGTCAACGAAAGTTTCCGTGAAGGTATCCGGCATCAAACCACGTGTCCGTATACGCCTGAACAGAATGGTGTTGCAGAACGCATGAACCGCACGTTGGTGGAGAAAGCACGGTGCATGCTCAACGATGCAAAGCTTGGTATGCAGTTTCGACAGCTGCCTGTCTGGTCAATCGATGTCCAACGCGGACCAGAAGAGGCGTGGTCTGGAAAGAAGTCGCACCTCAAGCATCTCAAGATTTTTGGATCTCAAGTGATGGCACACATTCCGAAAGTGAAGCGGAAGAAGTTCGATGCCAAGGCCAGAAAAGTGATCTTCGTCGGCTATTGTGTTTCAAATCAGTCGAAATATTGTAGTCCTAACAAAAGGTGAATCAAGTCCAAGCCTAACGAGTAATCAACATGCACAGCCAGTGGAGTTCATGGAGCTGAATTTCCAAGAGCTGTTGGTACCAATCAGCGCTGCTGATGGAAGCAATGAGGAGCAGCAATACGAAGTCGTTTTAGTTGCTTCTGATGGTAGATGAAGACATCGAAGAGGTTGCGGATGCAGCTGAAAACGCGCCCCCAACGCAACTGAATAGACCAGCTGATTCGCAGCAAGGGTTAAGGCGCAGCGATCGGGAGCTCAGTTATCCAGGCGAGTACAATGATTATACATATTAGCTTTGGAGCATATTCTGGTGATACCATTTCCCCCATAAAGTTACCCCCTGATTTAACCAATGGTGAATGTGCGATGGACGATCCAACAACTTACGAAGAAGTTCTGCAACAGCCTGACAGAGATCATTGGGTTCAAGCGATGAACGATGG